TTGTATACCTCAACCATAATTCCCTTCCTTGAATTTGTTTTTAATTATAAGTTTGGAAATTTCATCTGCATCTTCTCCAGAATAATGTGTTATTAAAGTTGTTCTGTTACTCTGAAAATTTGCAAACGGTGCCTTTCCTCTATTTACTAGTATCAAGTAGTGCAGAAAACTGTTTGCTAGTTCTCGCAACATACTTGAACAGAGATTTGTTTAAGGCATTCGTCTTTGATTAGAATTAAAGCAATGTAAGTAAATAGTGGTAGAGTGGCTTGTCTTCCTTCAAGTTAATGTTTTTCTTAGTACAGCTGAAAACCCCTGCATTATTCCTCACACTTCTCACGTGATTGATTTCAAATAAAATTACCTCCATCCAATTTGACAACACTGGGTCAGAAGTTTGTCATCTCTTATCATGTTATCTGCAAAGTAACATGTTGACCAATGCTCTTTGTATCTGTGAGTTTGCTGCAATTGGAAATGTTCTGCACAGGGAACAAACAGGCTGTCTATGAGCAATGTTTCATAAAGATATGAGCATGCACAGCAGGCATCAATCCTAAAGGAACAATGCAATGTAGCAAGCTAGCCATCTGCAGAAAACAGATGTTAGAGGGACACCGACCCCTTCTCCTATCGACTGCAGTCTCATCTCCATTCTCTTTTGCCTGCCAAATCCTTGCAAATATTCCCACCCCTAATCCACACCCTTCTCTCTTACAACTCAGTGTGACTAGATCCAGTCACGTTTTGACCCTTCCCACTACACTAAAAGTCTGGACAGCTGGCTACTGGATTATCCTATCTGATCGTTTCTGCAGTATTTAATGCAATTGAATACAATGTTCACCTGTAGTGCCGGTCCTGCATTCCCAATTTAATGAAACTTGTTTTGCTCCCATTGTATTTATATTGTCATACCCAGATAACACTCAAAGATCCATGCCTTACAAAAGGTTAGCTTCTGCATGAATGCTGATGGCACTCAGTTTAATCTAAACACCACTTCTCTGAACTCTTCCACCCCTCTGCTGTTAAACTGATAGTCTGGCATCCTATCTTGAACGTGTGCAGTTTCCTCTGACTGAACGTTTGAAAGACCAAAACCATTATTCTCAGCTTCTGCCACCAAGTTTGCATCCTGACCACTGACTGCAGCCCTCTTCTTGACCTTAGTTACTATATAAATGCAAATTGTTGTTGACTCTGGGCTTCATCAGACTGTAAGAGACGAAACTGTCAATATTGGATGCTGCAATTACACCTTTGATTTGTTAAATCTTTCTCTCCCTGACTTGGCATAGCTTCAGGTTTTTCATGAGATTAGATTGAAAGCCACTTTTCTTAGGTCTTCGTGTTTGCCATTTACAAAGGCAATCACACCAAATACAAGCGAATTGAAAATTCATTGATTTTCCACTTACAGGTCAGTTAAGTGGGCTGATAATTGCAGCTTTGAATTCTCCTCAACATATCCTAACCTTCATGATATTTCCTAAGCTCATGCATAAAATAGAATTCTTACCGAGAGCCCTATTTTCTGTTGCAGATTATACTAAATCCTCTCAGACTTTGTGTTCACTCTTCTTTTATAAGGAAAGCTGTAAGCCATGTTGTAACTAAACAACGGGTTGAATTTTTGCACTCCAGTTGAACTTCCACCATCAGAGTCAAATACAGAAGTTGCCCCTGCCATAGCCAGTACTGGGATCCAGTGAGGTATATGCCCAGCAGTGACTAACTGATTGCCACTGAGAATCTCACTAAGCATGGCAGTCCACCCACAGATGCCAGCCCAGTCAGAGGCTAGTGGCTCAGTACCAGCAACATATGGGCAAAGCTCAGACTTCGCCCATAAGAAGAGGGTACCTCAATGGCTGAGATGCCCCCTAGGAGGGGTAAGTTAGATTGGGGAAAACCCCCAGGGCTTTTCTGCCTCCCAGTTCTCCCCGAATGGCTGGTCAAATTATAAGCACTGTTTCAAAGTGGGAGGGTATAGTATAAAATAACTGAATTGGATCAGATCATCAGGGCAACTCTGTCACTTTTTAGCTTTAGCAGCTCAATGTGTTATATTCAATTCGAGACATTCTAGACTGTCTTCCACAAAAGGCAGTTGATGCTAGATCAGTTGTTAATTTTAAACCCGAACTAAATTTTTTTTTGTTGTTAAACAAGGGTATTAAGGGATATGGGCCAAAGGCAGGAATAAGGAGTTAGGCCACAGATCAGCCATGATCTCATTGAAAGGCAGAATAGGTTTGAGAGGCTGAATGAGCTACACCTGTTCCTATAGTTAGTCTTTGAGATGAATAACACAGGACTGAATTATGAAGGTATCTGTTTTAGATCTCCTACTCAAGACAGCTGCATTCAAGTCATCATGAAATATTTTGAGAATCTAAATCTTTGGAACATAATCCATAGAGCTTCACTGCTTACTGAATCAAGTTGTGTTGATCAGGATGAATGCAATGAAGAATTCCTCGTGGTGTTCTCAATATTTTTCTTGGATTTATTGAGCAATGATGATCATGTTGAAAATTTGCCTAGAACACTGACACATTGTGTTTTTGAGAAGATTTCCTCAGTAATAAGAATTAGATGGCTCAGGAGTTGTCAGGATTTTCCCTGCGATGGCTAAGAGGAAAGGAGGCTTGATAGTTTCCACAGCATGATTTATTTCCCCTTTTGAAAATAGCTGCAGTTGATACGTTCCTGAATTTGTAAGTTGTTGGGGAGTGTTGCAGAGGAGAAAGTTATTTTTCTTCAGAAATCTGCAGGTGTGTGCATGGAATCTTGCTCTAAGAAGAAGTTTTGGAGACCTCTGCTGGAATGCCACCGTGCTGCATGGTTGTTGTTATTTTTATGAATTTTAGCACCTATTGCAGCTCTGTCATCAATGTGGTTCATCCATGAATGCTACCAGAGTGTACACAGGATAGTCTGGAAAGTCTCATCTACAACTATGAATTCTCAAGGATAACAGCAATGGCAGCAAATGTCAGTGAAGCCAACACCACCTGAAAGAATTTTAAAAATCGTGGTTGAGGAATTGATCAGAATGTTCTTCCCAGCACTTAACGTGGCATTTTCATGCCAGCACCATCCTCTAAGCAAGGAGGAGTTTGTCTATTTTACCTTGGTCCATAGACCTGATCGTGATGATGGTCGCCATATTGTTTGATCTCTTGGTCTTTCTCTTTTCACTGCGTTTATCTTCTGGATTTGTCTTTGGGTGCAGCCATGAGCTGTAAGAATGTTGCTTTATTGACTTGTGACTTTGGGTTGTTCTGCTAGGCAATGAAGGTTACTGGTTTTTATTTGAGGTGATCACATATTTCAGTGCGGTTTTCATTGAACCAGTCTTCGTGATGACTATGCTTGAACCTAATGGTTTGAACGTTGGAATCTAAATATAATTGCCTTTATTCAATCAAGTAGGCAGTGATAGTGCAGGCTTCCACCAGGGTCCCTTTTATGCTTAGCGAATGCAGTATTCTCTCTGAGGGCTGAGCTATGTTGTATACAATTTACTTGCACTTGCATATTCCACACATCTTGTGATGAGGTCCAAGATCCTTTGTCTATATTATTTTCAATTGAGTTAGTTTAAGATCATTTATATACTTTCCAAAGTGTGTCCCCATTTTGTTACTGTCATCTGCCATTCTTGTGACCAAAGTGTAAGGATGGATGTTTTACTTATGATTTACTCCCATAAGTAATAGGGTTTATAGCATTAACCGATAAATGTTCACAGATTCATTAGGTACACGATAAACTTGCATTTAACAGCAACACTTACAGTGCAATCTTGCTACTATTAGGTGGAGAATCTAAAACGTGTTACAGTTTTGAGTTGACATTTTAAGCTGGTTAGACTTTAATCAACTATCTTTTCTCCAACTCACCTTTTAAACCTCCCTTTATCAAGACTTCTACATGACACTTTGCATGTCTGTTGGTTATATTGCGCAGCTTTCATTCAAGACTGAAAAGCTTGAGCTGTCCTTGCAGCTGTGGATTTGCACTCCCTAACGTACAACGCCCGAATGTTGACTGAATAGAGGAAACCTCTCTGTCTGCATTTTGTATTATCTTCAGATTTCACCGCTTATTTTCTCATGGACAGGTGCAACTCCATTGCATAATCATATCCATTCCAATCTTCTCCCTCTGCAAAACTGATCAGCTAATTAAATTTATCAATTTGACTTATTGTCTAAGCTGATTATTGCTTTGAAATTGGTCTTAATTCAACAGTTCAGTGGTCATTTCATTTGTGTTAAACATTCATGTCGAGAAAATAAAGCAAGCTGTTTGGTGATTGCCCTTTTAATCTTCTAACAATCTCAATTAACCGGCAAACATTAAAGATTAGATTACTGCAGTATGGAAGAAAAACTGTGATTAACCCTTACCTCTCAGTTTGCATTAAGTTGCATCTATTGTTGTTGGTTCTGCAATTTTTAAAATGTCCTCAATGTCTAAGTCATCCTACCTAATATCTTCTGTCAAACGTGTTCTACCCACTTTGTTTCTATATCCATTCTTTGTTTATGCATATATCGTTATACAATAGATTAAAATTCTTGAATTTTCTTAAAAGAAATTGTCATGGAAATTAGTTACCTTTCTGTAACACTTGTGTGAGATTCCAATGATAGTTTCGGTGATTGTACAATCTCTACAGCATGGAAGTAGGCCATCCAGCCCATCGAGTCCACACTGACCCACTGGAGAGCATCCCATCCGGACCCACCACCCTACCCGTTCCCTGTGACCCTGCATTTCCCATGGCTAATCCACCTAACCTGCACATTGCTGGACACTGTGGGCAATTTATCATGGGCAGTCCACCTAACCTGCACATTTCCCACAGTCCAAAGGAAACCGGAGCACCCGGAGGAAACCCACGAAGACACGGGGAGAATGTGCAGACTCCACAGAGACACTTGCATGAGGGTGGAATTGAACCCGGATCTCTGGCGCTGTGAGGCAGCAGTGCTAACCACTGAGGCACTATGCCACTCCAGCGGGTGAAGTTTATATGGTTCTAATTCACATTTTTAGCACACTTCCTCAATCAGAGACACTGTTCCACTTATCTGTTTCTTAATTCTTTTGGATCTGTCCTGTGCCCATTTGTCCTGCTACCATCCTCAAACTAAATGCTATAATACTGCCTCCCACTAGCTTATCCTACCACTCCATTCATACGATGAAGATTCTGGCAAGCACACCCCTGCCAGATATGCGTATATGGCTGGATCTCAGCACAGAGTTCAAACCCAAAATGAGCTCTGGTCACCATTTGCCCCAGCTGTTTAGAGTGGAGTATGAACCTTATCTATTCAGAGGCTTGAAAGCTATTGCTAAGCCAAATGCTGAGGCCTCCAAGTAGGACACTCTTCATCCCACCAGCCTCTGCATTCAAAGGATCATTCTCCATTTCAGATAACTCCAGCAGAACGCCACCACCAAACACATCTTCCCCACAGAGATAGTAAGAACTGCAGATGCTGTCGTCAGAGATAACACAGTGTGGAGCTGGAGGAACACAGCAGGCCAGGAGAGCAGGAAAGTTGACGTTTTGGGTCAGGACCTCCCCTCACTCGGCCAGTCTGCATTTCACAGGGATCATTCGCTCTGGGGACACCCTAGTCCAGTCCACAATCACCAACACCACTACCCCATCTCCACAGCACTTTCCCATATAACTGCAGAAGGTGCTACACCAACCCCTTCACCTCCTGCCTGCTCACCATCCAAAGCCTTAAACAGTCTTTCCAGGTGAAGCAGCATTTCACCGGTACTTCCTCCATTCCTGTATGTTGTATTTGCTGCACCCAATGTGGCCTACTCTACATTGGAGAAACCAAATGCAGACTGGGTGACCGCTTTGCAGAACACCTCCAGTCTGTGCGCAAGCTCCAGTCTGACATAGCCAGTCATTTTAACACCGCTTACTGCTCGCATGCCCACATGTCTGTCCTTGGCATGCTGCAGTTTTCTAATGAATCACAGTGCAAACTGGAGAAATGTCTCATCTTCAGACTAGGCACTTCACAGCTTTCTGGACTTAATATGTGAACCGTTTCTTCCCTTTTAGCTTGTTACATTCTGTTATCATGTCCTCTCTCCCCTCCCCTCACCCCAGAGCACAGTCTATCCTTTCAAACCTGGCAGGAGACATACCATTGTTCTGCCATTCTCACATTCCATTCTCTTATTCTGAACTACTAACATTTTACCTCCACCAGCACCCTACACCCACAACTCCCATGTCCCCCCCACCACAAACTATAGCATAAATGCTGTCCCCTCCACACTTCACTCCAGCTCTGATGAAACTAAACTCGAAACATTAACGAATGCTGTCTGACCCACTGTGATCTCCAGCATTAGTTGTTCTCACTCCAAGTTCAATAATGGTTTTCTGTGCCAGTTCTATCTAATCTGGCATTCTCTGGTGCAGAACCATTGATCTCATATGTGACTCAAATGAAAAAATGTAATCAAATTATTTGGATATTGCCTATTTTTCACAAAATCAAAAGAGGGTGAAGGACAAGTTGAAAATGTCTTTGTGATGATGGAGGTGGTGAGACTATTTTTGATAAATTTGTGATGTTGTCTTTGTACACAAATTGCCCATCCATATACAGTGTTATTCAGTTAGGACAGGGGAAAGAATTACATTTATTGTGAAAGCAGATTTGATTGGTGCAAAGACTCCATGAGAAGTTTGCAGGGAGTTGGAGTGGGATTTCTAGAAGGCAGTGATAAGCAGGCCTTGGAAGAAAATAGCCACCTTAAAGGAAAAGCAGGAAAGGATTTTGAAATACCTCAAATTGAGAAGTTGGATTGTTAATAGCAGAACTTGGAAGAGACCCAGGAACGTTTGGATTAGGAGTGTAATGAAACCTACCTGATTAGGACTCTCTGTGTAATGGAAACATTTTCAGGTTTTGTTTGCCAGGATTGGTTAGACCCAAGGTTTATCTAGCAGCAGTTCGTGGACGAGAGAGTAGAGCGACTTCTTTAAAAAGGTGCAGTCTTTAGCCAATTAACAGACATGTTGACCTTAGGATCAGAAGTTACCTATACTTAATAAGGTGGGCTTCAAAGCTCTCGTGGCCCTATTCAAAAAGAGGGCATTTCTTAAAAGTCCTTGAATATGCTCCTTTCTCATCCACCAGCACCAAAAAGAACGATTCATTAATTCATCTCATTGCTGTTGGTGAAATCTTGTTGTGCATAATGTGGTTGCATTGATAGTCTACGTAAATGATCAAAATGAAGTAATTTGTGACTGCTAAGGCACTATACAAATGTAAATCCTTTCATCATGTAGGAACCTGTAATCTGCCACTGCATAATAATGCCTTATTGAAGCAATACTGTACATTATCCATGCTCTGCTTCCATTCAGTAACAGCAATTAACTTGCTTTTGGCTTATGATGGGGTGTTACTCTCAAAATAGAGGGATTGAATAATATATTTTTTTCAAAAATCTTGATGAATAATGGAGCATTTTACTGTTGGTTAGAATATTTAATTGGGTACATGAGAAAGAAACACATTTTCCTGAGTACTTATAAGTCTGGAGATGTTTGATAGGAATATTTATAAATTAACTCTTTTCTTTCTCCCTTCAGAAATGTGTCTTTTGTAGAAAGAGAGTTAAGAAGACTTTGGGTGCTTGCATTCAGTGTTCATATGGACGTTGCCCAACATCCTTCCATGTAACTTGTGCCCATGCAGCTGGAGTCATAATGGAACCAGATGACTGGCCATATGTAGTCCTCATCACATGCTTCAGACACAAGACAAATCTAAGTGTAGTAAGTATTTCACTCATTTGCAACTTCTGTTGCCCTAGAGTTCCTGTTAGCATATTTTGAATTTGTAAATTCTGTGCTCGGACACTCAAGCATTAATTTTATGCATTACTTTGCCTAATCTTATTGAACAACATTCTCCGAGTGGACAAAGGGAAATCATTTAAAGAAAATTGAAATCCATTTATTTGCAGTGTATTACATGGGTAAAATTGTGAGACTCCTGTAGAATATTGTAACTGCACATGTTTAATTTCACTCAACACATTGATTTTATCTTTAACCAAGGATTAAAAACTAATGCAATTGTTCTGTTTAGCTGCAGAATAAATTAACTGGTTATTGAAATTTTTTGCCTTGTATTTTAATATGGGTTTATGTGTTTTTTCTATTCATCTGTGGGATGTGGGCATCGTTGGCTGGCCAGCATTTATAATCCATTCCTAGACAAACAGGAGGCAGGAGGAACACAAGCAGGCTAGGCAGCATTTGAAGGAAAGGAGCAGTCAACGTTTCTTCAGGACTGGATGTGGGGGCAGGGGGAGCTGCAGATAAAGTTGTGTTGGGGGGGTAGGAGAGGAGAAGGGCCTCCCATTGACCAACCAGATCATACGTACCACCAGTGTCCACCTATCACCACCATTCTTCCCTCCACCACCTCCTTCCCTGAAGGACATTAGTAAACCAGGTGGGTTTTTCCAACAATCAACAATGGTTTAATGGTCATCTGTAGATTCTTAATACAATATTTTTTTTTATCGAATTCAAGTTCCACCATCTGCCATGGTGGGATTCGAACCCATGTCCCCAGGACTTTAGCTGAGTTTCTGGATTAATAGTCTAGCAATAATACCACTAAGCCATCACTTCCCTGCCTATTTACTTTATAAACAATTAACTAGTCCATGTACCACTGTTCTGTAGTCTTCTATGGAAAATAATTGAATTATATTTTGCAGAAGTGTGAAATAAAAGTTGTAATATTTACATTAACTCTGTTCAGTAAGCAAATTTTCTGGCAAAATTTTTATTTTAATTTTTTTTTCCCCTCAAAAAGAAAAGCAAAACTTTATTTCAAGACTTAACAGTTGGGCAGACAGTCATCTCTAAACACAAGAATGGGCGTTACTATAGTTGCAGAGTGACTGGGATTTCGTCACAGACCTTCTATCAAGTTATATTTGATGATGGTTCCTTCAGTGATGATCTGTACCCAGAAGACATTGCTGTGAGTATTTTGCTTCTGTTCAGTCTGAAAAGCAAACAATTTTGATGGCCCTTCTTCAAACTGTGATGCAAATCGAAATTAGTTATTGTTAGTTAAACACAATGTTGTGGCTTTTTCCAATCTGTTTCCTGAATGAAATTAATATTTGGGCTTATTAACTTTAATGTTTAATCTTGTTTTAAAAAAAAATTCTGAAGCACAATGGACCAAAGTGCTGAGAGGGAGCACTGAGGTGAGCAGAAACTACATGACCAGAGGAAACATGGATGTGATGCAAAACACATGAACTGGTCCCTGCAGGGTAATTGGTTATGTTATTAAGACAAACCTGTTAGATATATCCAATACAGCAGTTCTTTTGTTTGTGTTCTTTCATGCGATGTGATAATTTCTGGCAAGACCAGCATTTGTTACTCCTCCTTTATTTCCCCTAAGAAGGTATTGATCGGCTGCCTTCATGAACTAGGACGGTCCATTTGCACCCCTCCAGGGCTGTTAGAGAGGGCATTCTAATGAGAGTGAAGTATCAAAGCTACGGTTCTAAATCACAATGGTGTGTGCCTTGGAGGAGAACCTGCAGGTGTGATAAAACCATTTGAAATAGGAACAAGAGTAGGCTCTTCGGTCCCTTAAACCTGCTCTGCCATTCAGTAGGTTGATCTGACATTCCACATCCACTTCCCTGTGTTTTCATCATTACGTCTTATTTCCTGACTGATCAAGATATCCGTATGTCTGTGCTGCCCTTTTCTTTTGAGAAGGTGGAGTTCATGAGGTTGGAAGGTTTTGTCGAAGGAGACTTGGTGAGATGCTGTAGTGCATCTTGTATCCAGTATATGTTGCTACTCCAATGATGAGTAGAGTGAATGATTAATACGGTGGATAGAGTCATAGAGCCATACAGCATGGAAATATACCCTTTGGTCCAACTCGTCCGTGCCAACCAGATATCCTAAATTAATATAGTCCCATTTGCCAACATTTGGCCCATTTCCCTCGAAACTCTTCCTATTCATATTCCTATCCAGATACCTTTTAAATGTTGTAATTGTACCACCATCCAACACATCTGGCAGCTCATTCCATATACACACTACCCTCTGCTTGAAAAAGTTGCCCGTTAGGTCCCTTTTACATCTTTCCCCTCCCACCTTAAACCAGTGATTTCTGAAGAAGGGTCTAGGCCTGAAACGTCGGCTTTCCTGCTCCTCTGATGCTGCTTGGCCTGCTGTGTTCATCCAGCTCTACACCTGGTTATCTTAAACCTATGCCCTCTAGTTTTGGAGTCCCATACCCTGGGGAGAACACCTTTGCTGTTCACCCTGTTCATGCCCCTCATGATTTTACTTTCTCAGAAGCATCTCCCTCTGCCCATCAGGTACAGATATCAGCACAAACTCATTTAAAAATTTCTTTGCTGTAGGTGTGGCTCTTTTAATTGCATTTGTTTCAGTTGCATAGAAGCCGTATACTTCGTACTGAGTATCAAAATTAGTTGTCTTCAGGAAGTGGCTCTACAGAGTTCCATGAAACAGGATTGAAATGGTACTTGATGAAAGTATACAACCTGAAAAAAATTAGCATCATCTGGGTCCTGCTGTTTAATAGCACGTGTTTAAATATGGTGAGAAATAAGACCAATGGATATACCTCCCTTGATGTAATTGTTAAACTAGTCTTCTCCGTAACCAAATGAGAATTGCTTTGATGGTTCCTCTTCTAAAGGCAATCATTTGCAATAAGCTATGCAAAACTGAGCTGATATAACAAGGATGATTGCCAGATTTTACTGACAGTGTTTGTTACTCAAAGGATTTAGTGTTAAAAAGACAAATCTTTCATGCGTTGTAAACTTTGCCGACAAGGCTAGCATTTGTTGCCCATCCTTAATGCCTTTGTGCACGTCATAGCAAACAGGCCCTGGTACTGCTGCGTCCATATTGTGTGGGTACACCTACACTCTCTTACATGTGCCTCTGAAGGAAAGACACTTTGATTCCAAGTCAGGGTGGCTAATGACTGTAAGAGAATCTTGCAATATGGGTGTTCCCATGTATTTGCTGCGCTTGTTCTTCTAGGTAATGGAGATTAGCAAGATCCTTCAATGTACCTGGTAAATGGTAAGTGCTCCTGTCATTGTGGTGGAAGGAGTGTTTGTTTTTAAGTTGGAGAATGCCAATCAAGCAGGCTGCTTTGTGTTAAGCTTCTTAAGTGTTGTTAGGTTTGCAGTCATCCTGGCAAGTACTGGGCATTGTACTGTTTTCCCTGTGCCTTGTAGATGGTGGGCAGAATTGGGGATTTGGGAGGTAAATAATTCTCTAGAAAATTCCTATCACCTGACCTGCTCTTGTAACCATAATATTAATATGTCTGTTAAGTTTATGTCTGTCTAGGTAAGTTTCTGGTCAATGGTATTCCTCTGTGATATTGATACTTAAGCATTTAGTGATGGTAATGCCATTTAATGTCCAGGATAAATGGTTCAAATCACTTTTATTGGAGATGGTTGTACATTAATGTTGCTTGCTTAGCCCTGACTGCTTCACTATTTGAGGAGGTCCAAATGGTACTGTACATTACAAATATCTGCAAATGCCACCTGACGTTAAAGACTTGAAGTAGGAAAAAGAAATGAAAATCTAATAAAAGAAAGGAAGAGAATGGAGAACAGGGAGCTATCAAGCATTTTATATCCACTGTGATTTTGGAGCAACCCATTTTTTATTTACAGTGGCACATTAGTCTTTCTGAACATTTAATCTGTTGCTGCTGTTGAATTTCTTTTTACCCACAAACTCATCTGCATTTTTTGAGATACTGCATTTCTTTTCCAATAGCATCTATTAAAACCTTCAGTGAGTAAATGTGCTGCAACAATACCTAAAACCTTGACGATTGTGACAACCATTGTAGTCAACTTGAACATCAGAAACTATTTATTATTTTTAGACATTCATATGTAGTGGGGAAGGTGGGTGAATGGATGGAAGTTCAAAACTTTATTTTGAAAATTATTACTGTTTTTGTCTAAAGCAGTCAATATTCACCTTTCGTAACACTAAATAGCAATGAAATCTTAAAATTATTTCACTTTTGTAATACATTGATATTCAGGACCATCCCTTTGAATTAATTAAGAACATTTCTGAAGGGATTGCCCCATATGGGAAGGTTAGACTTAGAGCAAATAATGAGAAATAATCTGCTTTCTTCCTCATTGTGTTTTTGCACACCGATAGAAATCTGAGTTGGCTGGGCTGGTGATGGAGTTAGCTTCCCTCATTTACATAGGTAACAGGTGGAAATTGTGCATCACTAGTTTATTTGGAAATTGCAAAATGCAATGGGGAAGGTGGAATTATAAATTATAGTAATTTACTCAGTTGCCCCCTACTACCCTATCCGACATTTTCTATATCCATCATGCTAACAGATCCATCATATAATGTCATGTGCAAACTAAAATTTGTATTAAAAAAAATCTTTTTGTGTACAAACCACTATTCCAAGTACAGATTTTTCTAAAAAGTGATATTGTTGGACCTCATGCTTCATGGATGAGTTAGATATCAGAAGATTGTGTATCATATTGTATAATGACCATGTCCTGATGTTAAAAAGCGCACATTCCTGCAATACCATGAGCTGTGCAAATAAAGTATCAGAAATTACTGTTAATATACATAGATATCACCTAGAAGGAGGCACATTTGTCGAAATAATCTTAAAATGCCTTTCTGCTTGTGAGTTTTTGCATCTTGATCACTTTTAATTTGGCAGCCAGAAATAAAAGGCTTGAAAGCCTGAAAAAGAATAGGGCCCATTTCAAAAAGCAAATTGATGATGATTTTTAATGTATACAAATGAGGGAATCAATCTCTAATGAATAAAATTCAAGCCTGCTTTGGTCACATTGCAGATGAGTGAATGTGGAGAAAAGGGAGAGATAGTGGCTTTTGAGATGGTGAAGGAACTTTTTTTTAATGTTTCTTAAAGGTCAGGAATGTAGCGGAAGAGATGTGTGTTTAGGGTGAGGAATACAAACCGCCCAATTTGATAGTAAGTTTTTTGGGAAAGGAGGGAGAAGTTGGTTCTTTGTGAAAGGAGAAAGGGAGGGGTTTGAAATGTATAATATTATGTGGGATGAAGGAAGGGAAAGCATATCAGTTGCAAGAGTGAGAGGAATCCTTTCTGCTTTGTGTGTCTCTGTAACAAAACAATCTGCATTTACTTTTACCAGAAGCATTGCAAAATTTCTTTATTCATTCATGGGATGAGGGCATCGCTGGCTATGCCAGCATTTAATGCCCATCCCTAATTGCCCAGAGGAGTCAACCACATTGCTGTGGGTCCGGTAGACACGTGTAGACCAGATGGTAGTTTCCTTCCCAAAAGGACATTAGTGAACCAGATGAGTTTTTCCGGCAATCAGCAATGGATTCACAGTCATCATTAGACCCTTAATTCCAGACATTTATTGAATTCAGACTCCACCATCTGCTGTGGCGGGATTTGAACCCAGACCCCCAGAACATTACCTGGGTCTCTGGATTAACAATCCAGCGAAAATATCACTAGACCATTGCCATCCCAAGGCAATTAAAATAGTTCAAGATGCACTGTAGTCATTTAAGGTGCTATATGAACACAATCCTTTTTTCATGTAATCAATTTCTATAGGAAATTAACTAGCATGTATAAAATACATTGTCAGGTCTACTTCGCAAAGTCTAATTTTGCAAGATTAAAAAAAAAATGCTCTGGATGCTGGAAATCTGAAGTAAAATGAAGGTCTGGAAAAAAAGAACTCAACAGGTCTAGCAGCATCTATGCAGAGAGAAACAGAGTCAAAGTTTTAAGACCAATATGACAAAAGATGTTGATAGTTCAGGGGACTGTCCCGTGTTTTCAAGTTTGGCAGGAGACATACCATTGTTCTGCCATTCTCTCGGTCCAATTACTTAATTTGAACTATCTACATTTTATCTCCACCTGCACCC